CATACATGGTCAAAATTACCCTTCTACCCTCCTGCCACTACTATAAAAAGAGTTGCTATTTTCAATTACAGGGTAAACTTTTGCTACTACTGTCCGAGCTTAAGTACTACTGTAGTTCTTTTACTTCACCACTCAAGCAAATCACCGACTTGATCGTCAGAGGAATAACCGGGAAACCAGACTCTGCCCTCTGACGATTTGTTACTTGTGCAGGGAAGAATAACTTGCTCAAGAACCGAACATTTGGAGGCTTAGAGGATCTTCTTTAACTCAATCAATCCCTTAATTGACTACGTGATTTCATATGTCAATAGCATTGTATGAGATTTTTTTTTTTTTTGAATAACGACTTATGAAAGAGGAGGTCCACACCAAGATGGATACAACATTTAACACTAGAGATATAACCTCTAGAGAGACTTCTTCGAACCAAAATAAGCTATCTCAAATCATTAAGAGCGTGTTTGGCAACACTCCAAAAGTGTGCCAGGATCCTGACCCAGTTTTGGGTGCTTTTGTAGTTGGTAAAAAACAGGGTTAATACTGGCTTTATTTTTATAAGTGAAAGAAAGCCCCTAAATTTGTTTTAGTTTGGACCAACACTGGCCCAAACTAAAACCAGTTCAAAATAAATCCGGATCAGGACCGATTCTAACCCAAATTTTAATATTTTGTCAAACACATCCTAAGTTACCATAAACAAACAACCATTTGCTACTAGGAAATAATACGTGTGGTTATGATTAGATTTCCCTTTTAAATTTTATGTTCAATCACAATTTCTGTTAGCTTAATCTACTCTTTTATACTCATATGAGGATTCAAAGAATATCTGTTTATCATACAGTAAATGCTACTTAACGTAGCAGAAATAGTAAGTCAGATATGCCTCCTCATGCGAAGTTATTGTTCACCTATTAACAACCCGGTCCTCCGCATTCGAAGCCACTGTTTATGATACAGTAATTTATTGTAGCATAAATAGTATATGAGATCTGAATCACTATACTTAAAACTACTATTTATTCTACAACAATTTACTGTATTATAAACATTAAAGCAAATTAAATATATTAAAACGTGGATTCTCCTTCAAGTATAGAAGAGTATATATGATTTTTAAATCAAATGTATTAAAATTTGAATATTTTTTAAGTATATAAGAATAAATATGATTTCTAATTTTAAGCATACAAGAATTAAATTAAATGTATTAAAACTTAAGGATGTGTTTGGATTTCAATAGGGTTAAGGGAAGTTAATAAAAACTAGGTGAGAGAATGGAAGGGAAGGGAAGGGAAGGGAAGGGAAGGGAGTTCCATTCCCCTTGGTTACACCCCAATTTGTGGGGTAACAAATTTTATACTATTAGAGAGTGAACCAATGAGAACTAGGATGAATAATTTCACCTCCTAAATATTCCCAAACAATGTGAATGGTCCCCCTAACTTCCATTCACCCTTATTCCCCTCAATCCAAACAAGCCCTAAAGAAATACAAATTTAAAATGTGATGCTTAAAAAAACAAGGGGTCTGGTATTGAAGGGGTGCTCACTAGTTGTTGTGAATAGGAGTGATAAATACAATAAACAGGGCCCTCAATTGGACTGGGCTTACTATTTGGATTTTGCTGTCAGTAAAAGTATTGGGCTCCAATGTTGACTTCAACGTACCTTGGACGCCAAAGATGAAGTAGTCAAGCATGAGTGCCTCTTTTTAAACGTTTTGCTGGCAGGTGTCCGTTTCCGTTAATAAATACTGCTAACAATTTACTTGCCCCCAAAATTAACGTTTTAAATCAAAGGTCCGTTTGACTCATGGACAGCGTGTGGGTTCCTCCTCCGGGGTGATAATGGTCTAATCAGCCGACTAGATGGTGTAACAGTCTACGGATCCATGTTGACGGTCACGTTACCACGTTATGATTGTCGGTTTAAATCAAGTTAGTAGATTACCATAATTCTTGTTAATAATTGAGATACACCCACAATACAATCATGGAGTACCTAAGAGCATCTCCAAGGGTGATCCTAGATTTTCCCTATATTTGAGGAGCAAATCTCTCGTATTAGGAAATAAGGAGTCAGATAATGCGTAAGTGCTCCAACAATGCTCCCCAAATGACTCCTTATCTCATGTCCTATACTAAATATAGGGAGTAGGAGGTTGCTCCAACAATGCACCCTATGTTAAGATTAAATATAGGGAGTCACTTTGTTATCCTTGATTTAAAATACCAAATCATATTCCCTATATTTAGTCTCCAACATGGGGAACCTGTTGGAGCAACTTTCCCCCCCCCCCTCCTACTCCCTATATTTAGTCTAGGAGAACCTGTTGGAGCAACTTTCCCCCCCCCCCTCCTACTCCCTATATTTAGTCTAGGACAGGAGATAGGGAGACTGTTGGAGATGCTCTAACAACTTAAGATTTTGGGTTGAAGTAAGGTTCTTAGCGTTTGTTTAAAGAGCATTAACTTCCATCCCGAATACTCTCCCACGTAATTATCAATTTTCAATTTGTTGAAAATGAAATAGTGTTAACATCTCTTTCTCCAAACCACTTTGAAATATATATGACGATATGATCAACAAATTAAGAAGGGGTAAAATGGTAATTTTGTCAAGAATATTTTCCCCTTTAATTTTATTCTCTTCCTTTCCCTTTCTCTCCTCAAGAACATTATTGATCATTGTAATGACTTGGAAATAATATCGTGTTTGAAAGGATAAAATGATAGTTATACAATAGAGGTTTTCCCTATATTTTCTTTCTTCTATATTTGTTTCAAGAACGTTCTAGACAACACACAAATAGAATTGAGTGCACATAATTAATTAAGCATATTTTCATTTTCAAGATATAAATTGTATTAAAGGGAGAATAATAAGTTTCTTTTACAAATCAACAGATGTATGCAAAGAAAATATTGGAGAAATTGTAGGAAAACTTAGAGTAATGAGTATAAAAGTCTTCCTCGTATTTAAGAATTCGTGCTGGCCTGAACATGTTCTTTAAAAATTGACACCATGGACATACATGGTGAAAAACTTCTAAAAAAAAAAAATTCTCATGCACGTGCATTAGGATCAACAAAGAAATGCCTTTGTGACTCATCCTACCAAAAAAAATAGGGTACTTGGTTATTAGAAGTTTCTAGAGGGGCTTGACAAATATCTTGATGAAACCCTCCCTGCTTCACTCATTTTATTGCACTATACAACAACTTATTTTTCTCCTCTCTTTTTTGATTCGCCATTCTCTCGCAACAAAATTTCGGTCTCCAATTACAAACATAATGAGAACATATATGCAGACAAAAGCTCCATTTATTTTTAATAATATGCCAACTCCTTATGATCCAGAATAAAAATGGAAAGGAATTTTTAGGTCGGTATGAGATCCACGTGTCCGAGCTGCAATGGCTGATTTTGGACCAAATTTCAGTTCATTCATTGATGCTGATCGATAGCTCGGCCTCGGTCCCATACGGGTATGGAAACTTCCACGCGGAGCGCGTTTGGACTCATTATACGTATCCCTTTCATGTAGCACCCTCTAGTATGCCAGTTTAGCCTATTTGACCTCTCTAAAATTACAATTTGCACAGGAATTAACTGTTCGTCCACGAGTAAAAAGATTACCTCTAATTAACAAATGCATCTTTTGGAAAGGTTATAGAGAGAACATCTTATGCATAAAAAAAAAGTGTTGATGTTTGAAATCACACGGTCATATAAGGGATTGATTAAGTTGAAGGAGGTCCTCTAGCTCTCCGAATGCCTGGATCTTAACTAAGCTGTGCTTCCCTGCACAAATAGCAAATCAAGTCAGTAAGTTGCTTGAGTGGAGAACTAAAAGGAATTGCAATAGTTCTCAAGCTCAGAGAGTAGCAATGAAGATCTTACCCTGATATTGATAATAGTATCTCTATTTATAGTAGTAGTAGAATGGTCACTTCGGCCTCAGCTTTACAGGTGTCGGCCGAAGAGTGGAGAAAATGTCACCTCGGTATTTAATGTGAAGTGATTGGGGGTATGCGGTGTCGACGTGATCTGATGTGTCATAAAAAATTTTTGGGGGCAGAGGAATGATGGCACCCACAATGTATTTAAAGGCATTTATTGCAAGGTGATTGATCACCATTAATGTAAAGGAGGGGGGTCGAGGCATTTCGTCGCCTTTCCACTCATCTGGTGGTCAACAAGAGCTGCCTTTTGAGTCCCCCTCACAATGTGTCGGCCGATTAGTCGGCGGAGTGGAGTGGTTAAGCAGTCGACTCAGTCAGGGGACGACACGTGACGCCTCGGGTCGTCGACATGTGACGCCTTTTGAATCGTCCTCGCGAAATGTCGGCTTGTCGAGTCGACCGAATTGAGCATCTGATTATCGTGAAATGCTGACTTGATTATGTATAATGTGGGACACTTGTCTGCCATTGATTGGAGATTATTTTCCATCACTAAAACTACTATAACAAAAGTTGTGCCTATTCAACACTTATATTGCTTTTCAATTGTTGTTATTCTCTTTTAAGAAGAAATGCAAGTTTTTCACAACTTCGAAATGCATGATCTACTTGGCCTCGATATGATACTTTTTCAGAATGGGTTATCCTCAATTAGTTCAACCACACATACTTTGACCATCCTAAGCTCAAACCATGAATAGAGATGACGCTGGATACGATAAGTGCCATATTACAAAAGAAATTTTAGTTAACATTGATGCTGAATTCTTATTGGAAGGGAATCGTAATAAGTGTCAATTTTAAGTCAGATATCTCAACTATCTGAAAAAGAAAGAATATCATTCATTTGAGATAATAACAATATTATAAAATTTTACTTAAGTTTTAGTTTTTATAAAAGGACAACAAAGAGGCTTCTAGCAAGGACATAATCCCAATCTCCATAGACCGAACACGCAAAAACTCCACATCAGAAGGTTTCATCTGCAAAAATACCCTTCAAACCACCGTCTATAAACACGAATCTCCCCTCAGTTCCGCTCATCGCGACCTTCACAAAATCCCCTGCTCAATCCAAGAACCCCTGCTCAATCCAAGAACCCTGAAAAAAGCCCCAAATTTCCACAAAAAAAAGCCCTAGAAATTTCCCCAAAAATGGCAGCTTCATCCTCATTCAACCCCTTCGCTCTCAAATCCCTCCCCAAAACACAAACCCCCTCCTCCTCCTCTCTCAAACCCCAGCAACGCCTCCTCTTCTCTCCCTCAACCCTCTCTTTCCCGCCATCCAAAGCCCTAACCTCAAAACCCTCGCTTTCTTCCTCTCTCATCCCCCGCGCCGCCGTGGACGACGACGAGTGGGGAAAGGAGCCAGAACCGGCGGGAAACGGCGAATCTGGAGGAGTCGTGGTGGCCGAGAGCGTGGAGGAAGTGGTTGTGAGTGAGGTCGGGGAGCTGAAGAAGAAGCTGAAGGAGCTTTTGTACGGGACCGATAGAGGGCTGAAGGCCTCGAGCGAGACGAGGGCGGAGATCGTGGAGCTGATCACGCAGCTGGAGGCCAAGAACCCGACGCCGGCGCCCACGGAGGCGCTTGCTCTGCTCAACGGCAAATGGATCCTTGCGTAAGATTTCTGCTTCGACTCCTTAACTTGGCCGGTCTTGATAACTTGTGGGTTTCATTGGTGTTAATTAGGGAAGGATTGTAGATTAATTTGATTTCTGATGTTGAAATCTAAGGCTAACCTTAAAAATACAACCCTTAAAAAAACGGATTATTTAAATCCAGGAAATGCTTAACCATGACTTGTTATTGTGTAAATAATGATAGGTGATACTTCTGGAAAAGAATAGAGAGGCCATCTTATATCATCATCGTCGTCATCAAAGCCTTCATCCCAAATGATTTGGGTCGGCTACATGATACCTATATTCTCCCATTTCATTCTATTACGAGACATCTCCTCCGTTAAGTTAATCGTAATCATATCTTTTTTAATTGCTTCTAAACAAGTTCTTTTAGGTATATCTCTAGATTTCCTAGCCCCAATACTATCATTTTTCCTAACCGGTGCACAAAGAGGTCTTCGTTGTACATGACCAAATCATCTTAGTCGATTCTCTCTTATTTTATTCCCAATAGGAGTTAGGAGATCTAGAGAGGGCATCTTATATAAAAACATGATAGATCATCATTAGTTACAGTGCTTTTTAAAAAAAAAAAAAAAATCATCTTCGCTTCTGAAAGAAAACAAGTTTTGTTTAAGTGATGAGGTACATGCTCTTATCGGTCCATCTAAAAATGGCTTGGGAAAGTTTTTTCTAATGGGAATTTACCAAAGCTCTGAAATTATGGCACCCGATGTGGGTTATAATTTTATACTCTTCAACAATAGATGAAGAATTTCTAATTGCTGCTCCAATTTTCTTCCTTTGCTTGATTACTTAAAAAGGGTTTTGCTTCTCCTTTAATCCCTCTATTAGTAAGTGTTAGATGGTATTGGATCCTCTTCACTGCTGATAGACAATTGAGTGGCCACTTATTCAGTCATAGCAGTCCACCCATTGAAAATGGGTATTTCTATGAAGTCATGTTTTGCTCACTAGAGACAGAACATTTTGTTACTTATGTAACTTTTGTGATATTATACAGTTCTGTTACTTATGTAACTTTTGTTACTTATCTTGAGACAGAACATTTTGTTGTCAATTGCTCACTAGAGAACTTCACTACAAACTTTTGCAGGTACACGTCATTCTCACAGTTGTTCCCATTGCTGGGATCTGGAAGGCTACCAGAGCTGGTGAAAGTAGATGAGATATCACAGACCATTGACTCAGAAGCATTTACCGTGCAGAACTCAGTCAAATTTGCAGGTCCACTCGCCACTACTTTGGTCACAACCAACGCCAAGTTTGAAGTTCGGAGCCCTAAGCGTGTGCAGGTATCTTTGCTTGTTTCTTTTGCTAATTGTAGTTCTTGTGTTTCCATGAGAATACTGTTATGGGTTCTTTATATCTTCTTGCCCTGGCAATAGATAGATGCATTTATCATGTGATTACCTACTGGAATTGATGGTTCAATATGCTTTGATGTCAAGCCAAGAGGTTTAAGACTCAGAAAATGGATGATGTGGATCATCAACGAGATGACTTGTTTCTGCGTTTAGATTAGATTGCAAATTCTGCACATTCCTTCTCTTAGTAGGATTTCTAAGAAGAGAAGGTTATAAATTCATCTCCTCGTCTGCCTTACATTTACCATAGTGAGTAATTTTGCAGCAATACAAACGGCTAAGAAATCGAAGTTCACTATAATATTGAATGAACTCCAGCAATGGTTTATATAATATAATGAAAGGAAAAGTTTACAGAAAATATATCTACGCTATTCTATGTCTTTATTTTTATTTGAAATTTAAAGTTCCAATTACCAAATGCTAATGAAAGAGACGTGTAAGGCAAATTCTCAGGTGCCTTCTGTGTCACCCTCACCACTGTCATCCCTTTCATTTCATAATATTAGTTTGAAATCTGTTAGGAATTACGATATTGGTTTCTCATGTAACTATCATGAATGAGGAGTAGACATGAACGAAAATGCTGCCTAATCGTCGTGTTTCTAGACAAGAAAAGCTTGCTGTAGAAGTCCATATTGACATGTTAAGCTTTGTTTCCTTCTGATATGTTTGGGATGTGGTAGAAGTAAAAGAAGAAATGAAAATGAAGGTTTTAAGTTTGTCCTTCTAGCCATTGAGTCACTAACTCACAATCAAAGCCTGAGTCTGTGGTATATTTTCTTGCTTTTTAAAATCAAAGGTGACTTTGGTGGAAAGGAAACCTATTAAAAAGGAAAGGATTTTCCATTTACTAACATATTCAACAAGTAAGAATCGAACTAGACAAAATTTCCATTTACTAACATATTCAACAAGTAAGAATCGAACTAGACAAATTAAGTGGTAACTGATAAAATTTTTTCTCTCGTTATTATCATTTTCTGGTTTTATTGTAAAAGCTAGATGTAAACATCACCATATCAGTTAACAAAATGTGTGCGTTAGTATCTGCAAAATGAAATGATTTGCAAATTTTAGGTCTTCGAAGAAAAATAATTTCTTTGTTGGATTCCATGAAGCCATAGGACAAACTCCAACCAAGCAGTCGATGAAGATCAAAGAATGGTTATGAAAACTTATCTGCTAGAAAGATACCTCCTCATTTCGTTGGGAAATTTAAGAGGTCCAGTTATCAATAATAAGCAAAGAAACATGCTAGAAAGAAGGGTCTTGATTTGCCCACACCCTTTGCATGCCCTTCATTTCATCACAAATAGTTACGTCTGCGGTGAGGAATATGATACGGCGTCATACCAGGGTAGTGAGCATTAATGAGAGGGGAATGGGGATGCAAAAATATGTGGCCTAATTCCTAGGAAAAAGAAGAATTCTGATGTGTTTGGATGAGGTGAAAATAGAAAAAGAGAAGACGGGTTGCTGAAATTTGTCCTTCAAGTCATTCAGAGTGTAGTTGTACACTATTTGCATTCCTGTAAGTAAAATATGTCTATCCCTTCTGTGATCAAATCCTTTATCAACTTAGCGGTGGTATTTATGTGCTTTTACTCTTGCAGCATCTATAACTGATGTCAGTTTAATAGAGAATAAACAGTGAGACATAGAGGGTGGTTTTTTTTGGGGGTGGGGGTGGGGGTGGGGGTGGGGTGGGGGTCCCTTATATCTTGGTCAAACTAGCTCTTAAGCTAGCTTTTTCATTTCTATCTGTTTCGTAAAATACCAATTACTAAATAAGTCCCATTTCAAAAAGCTAGTATACCCTAGGTTTTGAAAAACTAGCTTATAAGCTCACCTAAATAAGATAGGTTTGACCAAAAAATTTACTATTTTACCCAAATAATTGTTATAGCATTTTTATCATAAAAGTCAAGCCAGCTAGCATAACTTATAAACTTAAATTAAAAATTAAAAAAATTAAAAAAAGCTGCTCAAACACTCTCATAGGTGGATCCACCTTGACCAAAGTGGGTTCACATGACCTCACTTTGGTCAAGGAGGACTAATAAGTTAATAACCTCTCTTATGTTTGGTGATTTCCCGGATAACTCCCCTTTAACTTCTAAACAAATGTTACTAAACCCCCTTAACTTTTGAGATCCTCAGGAAACCTCCTTCAACTTTCGATGTTCCTAGAAAAAAAACCCTAAAAGTGTGAAGTGGACCACAATTTGACAAGCAAAAGTATCTCCATGCATAATTTTGTGCACCCGCGTGAAAGATATCGTAAGTTGAAGGGGGCATTATGAGAACCCCAAGACTTAAGGAGGGTTTTGTGTAGTTTGGTATTAAGGGGGTTATTAAGAAACGCCCAAACTCAAGGGATTTTTTTTTTTGAAATTTATCAACTAAAAAATTCACCTTCCAATTCAAGTTTCATTATAACATGAGAACTCATTACTAGTAACATATATTGAGAAAGATGACTTTGATAGTGTTATCAAAGATACAATTATGTACTTTTCTTCAAATTATGCAATTATTTACTTTTCTTTAAAGATGAATTACGTAATCCTTGATCCGCTGCTATCGTGAGATAACCAAAGCAAATTTTCTGAGACTCTGCCAGGATATTTTATAAGTAAGGATCTAACTAGAGAAAGCAATTGCTTATAAAAGTTTGGTCCTTTCCCTTGAGCAAACACCATTTTCTTGTTTTTCTTGTAGAGGGAAAACTGCACATCTTCAACGTCATCTGGACGAATTACTTTTCATTTCATCATAGTTCTTTTAATGAAAACATCTTCTCATAGTTTTTATGTCTGTGAAATGAAACAACTAGCAAAATTTAGGTTTCAATCTGATTTTGCAAGCTAAGTTCAACGAGAACCAAACATATCCGCAAGTGAAACATTTTCAATGATTGGTGCTAATAAGAAGTCTATCCATCTTACAATTTTATACAGCAAAGTTGGTTTTGTATGACGAAAAAGAATCTTAATACACTTCCTGACGTTATACATGAAAAGAAATAATGTGATATGAATACTTAGTTATTTTTAACCATTTATTACATATAATTTTATTAACCATCCAATAGTTTTTGTTGTTGCTGCTGTTGGGGGTTGGACCATCTCCTCCGTTAAAAGTTAACAACTATCATATCCTTCTTAATTACTTCCAATCAAGGACCCCTAGTCCTCCTTTCTCTATTAATTTTATCATTACCTCTTATTGATGCCTTTTGTGGCCCTGTTGCAATGTGCACTTGACCAAACACTCAAATCGATTTTCTCTCCTTTTAACCTCAATAGGAGCAACATTTAACGTCCCCAGTATACACTCTTCTGGTCCTATCTCTTAGTTAATTTCCACATTGCTAGCATAACATTCTCATTTATGTTATTCTCATTTTTTGTATTCATGAATTATGTAAATCATTATAAGTAAATGCTACAATACGACATATTTTCACCACCTTCTCATTACATTCATCAATATCTTCTTCTTTCCAGATCAAGTTCGAGGAAGGCGTCATCGGCACCCCACAGTTGACAGACTCTATTACCATCCCAGACAATGTTGAGTTCCTAGGCCAGAAGATCGACTTCTCTCCCCTCAAAGGTGTGATCACATCCATCCAGGACTCTTACTCATCGGTTGCCAAGACCATCTCAGGCCAGCCTCCCCTCAAGATCCCATTCACCAACGACAATGCTCAGTCTTGGCTTCTGACAACCTACTTGGATGAGGAGCTCAGGATTTCCAGAGGCGATGGTGGCAGCGTCTTTGTGCTCATCAAAGAAGGCAGCACACTGTTGGATTAATCAAGAGGTTTGGATTCTAGTAACAGTTGATAGACTCTATCGTGATTGTGTGATGATGTTTAAGCATATAATGATGATGGTATGTTTATATTGTCACCCCATATATCTTAAGGATGAGGGTATATCTGGTATATAATGATTAATGGTAGTTGTTGTAATCATGTTAGTATCTTGAGTGGGGGAAATTTGATATTGTGGTATATTAAAAAAATTGATGTTGTGTATATATTTTCACCCTACATATGAATTGAAAGTTGAGAAGAATAATGGCAGTTCTTGTAATCATACGACTATACGAGTACCTTAACCTGAAATCTTGATTCTGGTTTTTGAGTCATATTCACTATTTGTTGTGTAGCTTATGTTTGATATTTGTACTTGAGTATTCTCCTCCTCGGCTTCAGATATTTTAGCTATAATTAGACGATTACGTTATGATGATAATTGGCATATAATGATGATGGTATGTTTGTATCGTGACCCTATAAATGTGAAATATAATGCCTCTTTTCAGACGTATGGTTGAAAGCTGAGAATGATAATGGTTGTTCTTGTAAGTTGTAATCATCTTAGTATCTGAACTAAAAAAATGATGATGGTTTTGGATCATATGCACCATTTGTTGTATAGTTTATGCTGGTATTCATGTGAGTATTTTTCTCTTCAGCTTCAGATCTATTCACTGTAGATTGCGTTAGGATTGTCTGGCAAACATTCAAGTCTAACAAAGATATTAGATGGAATTTAATCCCCTATTGGAAAGCAAATAAATAGATATATGATTTTTTTTTTTTTTGATTCATTACCCGCATTAAATAAGAAAAAACAGTAAGTTGGATGAAATTTTGGGTCAATTTAGTTCCAAATACATTAGCATACTTCATCTTGATTCATGGGGTTTTGCAACCAAACATATTATAACTTGCCTTGACTAAAGTGTTGGACAAGTTCAATTCAAGAAATCCATGATATTTATGCTTGAAATGGATCATAATGGTTCTTGATATAAATAGAAGACCATAATTTGAAAATAGTTC